CGTGTGTGTCTGTGTGTGCGCTGCGCGTCTGTACCGATTTTTCATCTCGAAACCGGCAAAAGCTACGGGGCTGAAACTTTGGGGACTTAATCTGCATGCACGTACGGGCCCCTATCCCGCGTGGTACTCCCGTAAGACCCCGCCAAAATTTTTTACGGGTAAGCTGATAACTCACGAACCAGAAAAGCTAGAGAGCTGAAATTTTATGGGAATGTTCCCCAATGGGTAAGCTGATAACTCGCGAACCAGAAAAGCTAGAGAGCTGAAATTTTATGGGAATGTTCCCCCAAGTAGGTATTAATGAGCTCAAATCCAGCCCCCCCGGGAAGTGTGGCACCCGCGTACGAGCCCCCCCCCCAAAAAATTTTTCCCGCGCAAATTCATAACTCGGGGTTCAGGGACGTTAGAAAGCTGAAATTTTAGGGGAATGTTCCCCGTCCAAGCAGGTGCTAAAGGGCTCAAATCCAGACCCCGGGTAAGCGTGGTACTCGCGTACGAGCCCCCCAAAATTTTTCCCGCGCAAATTCAATTCCAGCCCCCGGGTAAGCGTGGTACCCGCGTACGGGCCCCCCAAAATTTTTCCCGCGTAAATTCATTCCCGGGTAAGCGTGGTACCCGCGTACGAGCCCCCCAAAATTTTTCCTGCGTAAATTCATAACTCGGAAATCCAGACCCCGGGTAAGTTGTCCAATCAGGTGCTAATGGGCTCAAATCCAGACCCCGGGTAAGCGTGGTACCTGCGTACGAGCCCTGGGTAAGCGTGGTACCCGTGTACGAGCCCCCCAAAATTTTTCCCGCGTAAATTCATAACTCGGGGTTCAGCCCCCGGGTAAGCGTGGTACCCGCGTACGAGCCCCCCAAAATTCTTCCTGCGTAAATTCATAACTCGGGGTTCTGGGTGCTAGAGAGCTGAAATTTTATGGGAATATTCCCCGTCCAAGCAGGTGCTAATGAGCTCAAATCCAGCCCCCTGAAACTTTATTAGGGGAGTGTTCCCTGTCTAAGTGGGTATCAACGAGTTCAAACTCGATAACGTGAGAAGCTAGAAGCGTTCCCTGTCTAAGTGGGTATCAGCGAGTTCAAACTCGAGAACGTGAGAAGCTAGAAGACTGGAATTTCGAGGGGATGTTTTCTGACGTTCTTAGCGGCCAGTCTGAAATTCTTTCAGCTAGAAGCATCTGCCGAAAAAACCGAGGCCGGTAGCAACAAAACCTGCGAGGAACTCTGCAAAAAACGCATCTTCGCACGGGCAGCCCGTGCGTTGGCCAATTTTTTTTACAGGTAAGCTAAAACTCTGCAAAAAACGCATCTTCGCACGGGCAGCCCGTGCGTTGGCCATTTACTTTTATCTTTTATCTATTATTTAATTTGGTGCGTTTGTATACGCATCTGTGTTGAAGAAGCATCTGCCGATAAAACCGATGCCGGTAGCGACAAAAACTGCGGGGAACTCTGCAAAAAACGTCACACGGGCAGCCCGTGCGTTGGCCGTTTATTTCACATGTCGCCTTTCGAAAGTGGCGCACTCCGTCCTAGGGAGCTACGGCCTAAATGGACGCAATTCGGCCATTCCGGTCATACAGCATTGTACATTCACGAAAATCCATCATAGTGAAATATAAAGACTAACACGGTTTGGTAGAGCTATTTAAGGTTAAAAAAAAATATAAGAAAGACGATGGAAAAATATAAGAAAGGATGATGGAAAAAAGAAAGAAAGGACCCCCCCCCCGCCCCCAAACTTCAAAATGGGCGCCAAAACCTGCGTGGTACCCGCGCACGAACCCGCCAAAGTTTTTTAGGGGTCAGTTCATAACTCGAGGATCTGAGAAGCTAGAAGGCTGAAATCT